CAGTGCACAGTTACAGCCACAACAGACCACTGGAACATTATTGAACACAGTGCACAGTTACAGCCACAACAGACCACTGGAACATTATCCAACACAGTGCACAGTTACAGCCACAACAGACCACTGGAACATTATTGAACACAGTGCACAGTTACAGCCACAACAGACCACTGGAACATTATTTAACACAGTGCACAGTTACAGCCACAACAGACCACTGGAACATTATCCAACACAGTGCACAGTTACAACCACAACAGACCACTGGGACATTATTTAACACAGTGCACAGTTGCAGGCGATGAGTCACAATAATGTGGCTGAAGTAGTTTGACCAGACCACACACTAGAAGGTGAAGGGACGACGACGTTTCGGTCCGTCCTGGACCATTCTCAAGTCGATTGTGATGAGGGAGGTGATACAGGCAATAAATAGGTGAAGAGAGAGGTGAGGAGCAAGGCAAAAGGTACAAACGGTAAGGTGTAGTAGAGGGGATAGTAGTAGGAATAAGAACTGCAGAAGGCCCATTGGCCCATACGAGGCAGCTCCTATTATAACCACCGAAGGAAGGGCATAGTAATAGGAATAAGAAGAGGATAGAAGGGAATGTAAGAGAAAACAATGAACAGAAAAAAGAGAGAAGAGAGTAAGAAAATGAAAGAGAAAGAAAGATAAATGGAAGGGTAAGCTTATGTTAGTCACGTTTGTTAGAAAGATTAGAGCATTTGAGTATATACTGTGAAAGGGAAGAGTCAACAGCAACAAAGCCAGGACTCAAGTTCATGTTGGGTACGTTGTGTATTAGAGCCGATTCAACAAGACGGCGTAGTGTAGAGTAGAGGCAGGAAAGATTATTTTAGAGGAAGACCAATCAATAGGATGATTAGAATCCCTCACATGACAGAAGAGAGCATTGTTAGTGTCTGCAGACTTAACACTTCTCTTGTGTTCTTTAAGTCTGTCATTAAGTGTACGGTCAGTTTCGCCAAAGTATTGGAGAGGACAAGATGAACAGCAAATAGAGTAGACACCAGCAGCATTAGAAGCAGGAGGAGCAGTGTGAACTAGATTGCTACGAAGTGTGTTAGTTTGTCGAAAGGCGAGCTTTATGTCAAGAGGACGAAAGGTATTAGTAAAAGTTTTGAGTTCAGATATGAAGGGAAGGCATAGTACAGTGCTACTAGTGTTGGAAGCAGGTTTAGGATGAAAGAAATTTCGTTTAGCTTGAGAGTAGGCACAGTTGATGAAATGCAAAGGGTAACCAAGGCGAGAGAATGATTTGTAGATAAAGGCAATTTCAGAATCAAGAAACTGAGGGTCGCTGATGCATAGAGCGCGGAGGAAGAGAGAGACGAGGACACTTTTCTTAACAGAAGGAGGATGGTAGGAAAAGAAGTGAATGTACATGCCACTATGCATGGGTTTGCGGTAGACAGAGAAAGAGAACCCGGACACAGAGCTGTGAACGTGAACGTCAAGAAAAGGAAGGAGGGAATTAGATTCCCATTCAACTTTGAAATGGATAGAAGGAGCCAGATTGTTAAGAGAGGAGAGGAAAGGCTGGAAAAGACTAAGGTCATGAGGCCATAAAGCAAAAATGTCATCAACATAGCGAAGCCAGAGAGAGGGACGAGTATCAATAGAAGGAAGAAGAACAGTTTCGAAGTATTCCATGTAGAAATTAGCAAGAACAGGGGAGAGAGGGGAACCCATAGCGACACCGAAAGTTTGAGTGTAATATTTACCGTTGAAAGAGAAAGAGTTAGAGTCAACACAGAGTCTTATGAGTTCGAGGAAAACGTCAAGTGGGGAAACGGGAGAGGAAGAAGGCCCTCAGACGCCTTCTGTCTAAGGAAAGAGAGAACGTCATCGAGGGGAACATTAGTAAACCGAGAGTCGACATCAAGACTAAGCATCTTAGAGGAGGGCTGCAGGCGCAGTCTTTCTATGAAGTCCTGAGAGTGACGAAGGTGGACAGGAGAAAAAGTGCCAAGATAAGGAGTTACAGTTTTAGCGAGCCAGGAAGCAAAAGGATAGTCGACAGAGGCCCGTGAAGAAATGATAGGACGAAGAGGAACACCAGGTTTATGAGTCTTAGGTAGACCATACAAATAAAGAAAAGAAGGGCAGATGACACGGAAACGTTTTATAAGATCGAAGTCAGGAGGACAAAGCCTAGAGAGCTGTCTTAGTTTGAAGGACGTTTTAAGGCGATCCAAATGGTTAGAAGCCAGAGTGAGTGCGGGCGTCAGAGAGCAGGACATCAGCTTTCTGGAGCTAGTCCTCACGGTTAAGGACAACCACCGAATTGCATTTGTCGGAAGGAAGGATAAGAATATAGTTGTTAGATTTCAGGGAGGCAAGAGCAAGCTGGAGGCGACGAGGAAGGTGGTGATCTTTAGAAAACACACTGTCAAGAACGGGGATAAGGGCCCGTTTAAAGGCAGACAGGTCCGAATGCATAGATCACTGGGAAGAGAAGAGGACAGAAAGCGTTGCTGTTGACGAACAGCAAGAAAAGCCCCGTCAACTTGCAAGGAGGTGGCATGAATAAGTTCTTGAAGAATAAGGCGGGCATGTTCATGGAAAGGAGAACCCGAAGTGTTGAACTGGAGAAAGTGAGATAAAGAAAGAGATCTTTGAAAAAAAAGATAAACTGAGATCTTTGGGACTTACAGTCCCCAAGTGGCCATCTGATATATATATATATATATATATATATATATAATATATATATATATATATATATATATATATATATATATGGGTGTTATCAGATAAATAAACACGTGATTAAGAATGTGACAAGTCAGACCCTGATATATATATATATATATATATATATATATATATATATATATATATATATATATATATGTGTGTATATCACGAAAATACACGTGATAAGAATGACCAATGTCAGACCAATCAGATATATATATATATATATATATATATATATATATATATATATATATATATATATATATATATATATATATTGAATACCATATATGTAGAATTTAAAATTTTAATACCATGCCATTCAGCTTCTAGACCCAGCATAGTTCCTTCCATATCCACTCCTCCTCGAGCAATTGATATTGAAGATAAACCCAAATTACATAAATATTTACATGTAGAATTACCTGATAATTTATTTTGGAATCCTTTACATGGATAAAACGGCGATGTGCAGTCCGACACTTCGAGTCTTGTCTTACGCTTTTGAGAGTGAATTAGATTAAATACAGAATTCATAATACAGAATACATAACAAGCATTTTGAAAATAATTCGGCGGATGCGTTAAAACATAGGAACAATTTTGGTGATTTTTTATAGAATGGTGATGACAGAAAACGAAGGGTGATGACAGAAAACGAAGGGTGATGACAGAAAACGAAGGGTGATGACAGAAAACGAATGGTGATGACAGAAAACGAATGGTGATGACAGAAAACGAAGGGTGATGACAGAAAACGAAGGGTGATGACAGAAAACGAAGGGTGATGACAGAAAACGAATGGTGATGACAGAAAACGAATGGTGATGACAGAAAACGAAGGGTGATGACAGAAAACGAATGGTGATGACAGAAAACGAAGGGTGATGACAGAAAACGAATGGTGATGACAGAAAACGAATGGTGATGACAGAAAACGAAGGGTGATGACAGAAAACGAATGGTGATGACAGAAAACGAAGGGTGATGACAGAAAACGAAGGGTGATGACAGAAAACGAATGGTGATGACAGAAAACGAATGGTGATGACAGAAAACGAATGGTGATGACAGAAAACGAAGGGTGATGACAGAAAACGAAGGGTGATGACAGAAAACGAATGGTGATGACAGAAAACGAATGGTGATGACAGAAAACGAATGGTGATGACAGAAAACGAAGGGTGATGACAGAAAACGAATGGTGATGACAGAAAACGAAGGGTGATGACAGAAAACGAAGGGTGATGACAGAAAATGAATGGTGATGACAGAAAACGAATGGTGATGACAGAAAACGAATGGTGATGACAGAAAACGAATGGTGATGACAGAAAACGATGGTTCTAATGTGGGTCAGTTCTGGAGGCTGGAACAAGCTTTTAAGCCCGGAGTTCTTCGGAAGGTTTTTAATAAAGTTGAAAAGAACGAATCTAGGTGATAGATACCACCGGAATTCTGTTCCACTGGATAGATACCATTTGAAATTCTCTGAACGCCCCACGGGCCAGATTCACGAAGCAGTTACGCAAGCACTTACGAACCTGTTCATCTTTTCTCAATCTTTGGCGGCTTTGTTTACAATTATTAAACAGTTAATGAGCTCCGAAGCACCAGGAGGCTGTTTAGAACAATAACAACAGTTGATTGGCAAGTTTTCATCATTGTAAACTGTTTAATAAATGTAACCAAAGCCATCAAACGTCGGGGAAAGACGTACAAGTTCGTAAGTGCTTGCGTAACTGCATCGTGAATCAGGCCCCTCGTTTCTCGAGTACATGAAGGCTCTGGCACACAGTTGGCTCCTGGTTCATGTTGGACCTTACATCATACTAACTTAGCATGCAATTTAGTTCATTCCTAATTGATACTAACAAACTCCTCAAATATGTGAGTTTCTAGGACCAGGCTTTAGGTGAGCTGAGGTAACTGTTGCTGCTGGAACTCTCCTTGTGAACCCTAATCATAATTAAACGAGATATGTGTAGATAGACGGTCGCAGCGAAAATGTGAAAATCCGGGAACTTTCCAGAGTCTTCTAGTGGGCTTTTATGAATCTTTTAACCTCAAGTACGTTCATTTGAGACAATAAAATACATGTCAAAGGGATAGAGCAGCTTAGGCTATTTTCATTTAACGTTGTTGTCCAGAGGAGCGAAATCATTGACCTTCACGTAATTCATATTTTATTATTTCACGATCAGAAGGCAGAAAGAATTGGTGAAAAAATACAACATATGCTGCACTGCTCGCTAAGAGAAAGTCATGGACGCACCGTCCTTGTCGCCACATTTTGTAAAAACCTTATCCGTTTCTCCCAGCAAGGATTTTCCCGCCATTCCGACAAAGCGCAGGAAAACAGAGTAAGCCGGGCTTTAGCCCCTCCCCCCCCCCCCTGCAGATTGACTTGTTCATGGCTGCCGCCAGGGAAAAGGGACTCCCTTTATATCCCTCGTTCCCTCACACCTCTCTCTCCCTCCCCCAGGGATGCATCACCCGCCAAATGAGGTAGAACTGATAACAAAGATTCTCGTTTGAATTTTCTTTCCCGCGCGCGCGCGACAGTTTGAAAAATCGCCGTTTGATTTCCTCCGCGGCTTACGGCGCGATACACCTGGTTATATCGTCCCTCTGGTCCGCTGCAGAATTATATCGCAGGTAATATATTCCTGCAGGCCGTAAAACAACAATTATCTCGTCTTTGCCCGCAGTGTTGGTTCATTTCTCTCAAGCCTATTGTGGTTTTAGCAATCGGTTTTCCTGGACTAGGAGAAAAGGCGCCCCGGGTCGATGGCAACGCGTTTATCTTCATTTGGTTGCCACACCTCGCCAGCACAACCCTCGTTCATCACACCTTCCTCCGCCTGTTTGGCCTTTTCCATTTGCCATCTGGTCTAAACCAGAGAGGAGAGAAAGAAAGAAGAGATAAGAAGGCAGAAGAGAACAGTGAGATGGTGGAACTGGAAGAGAAAGTATAGGACGAAGACGGAAGAGAGAGAGAGAGAGAGAGAGAGAGAGAGAGAGAGAGAGAGAGAGGAAGGATATGAAAGAGACAAGAATGAGACGTAAGAGATAAAGAGGAAGGAGGCGGAAGAGAAACAGAAAGAGAGAGAGAGAGAGAGAGAGAGACACCCGGCGCCTCTCTCTCTCACCCACATAAGCACCAACAACAATACAAAAGTTAGCGGAGGTTTAGCGGCTCTTCGCTAACATGTAAGTGAGGTTATTATTAACATCTTTATGGTGAGTATAGTGTCATTGTGAGGAAGAGCTCGGAGAGTATTGACACAGGACACACTGCTCAGGGTCCCCGCACAGCACTCAACACTGGAAGACCACTAGGGGAGGGAACAGTGCCCCCTGTTAGAGTGCCAACAGTGCCTGCTAGAGACTGCCAACAGTGGCTGTTAGAGACTGCCGACAGTGTTAGAGACTGCCGACAGTGTTAGAGACTGCCAACAGTGCCTGTTAGAGACTGCCAACAGTGGCTGTTAGAGACTGCCGACAGTGTTAGAGACTGCCGACAGTGTTAGAGACTGCCAACAGTGCCTGTTAGAGACTGCCAACAGTGGCTGTTAGAGACTGCCAACAGTGGCTGTTAGAGACTGCCAACAGTGGCTGTTAGAGACTGCCAACAGTGGCTGTTAGAGACTGCCAACAGTGGCTGTTAGAGACTGCCAACAGTGCCTGTTAGAGACTGCCAACAGTGCCTGTTAGAGACTGCCAACAGTGCCTGTTAGAGACTGCCAACAGTGCCTGTTAGACACTGCCAACAGTGCCTGTTAGAGACTGCTGTTACTAAATACAGCTGTAACTGCCTGAATCACCAATTAAGACTCCACGGGATATTAACAAAATCTATATATATTACTAATAAAGAAATATTAACGAAACTTTTCATTCTGTCCACATTATTTGCTTAAAAATTCGCTTTTCCATTATTGTATGCAAATTCAAACTTTGAAATCAAAAGTTTTCTGGGAAGATAAAGGCCTCGGATAGGTGCTAAGTTTGGCTGCGGATTTTAACTGTGACTTTTAGTCAGTTCTTGTTGATGTAGGAGACTCGAAGGGGTTTGGTGAGTTGAAGTTGGGTTCGAAGCCACAAGATTGGCTTTGCCTGAAGCTGGGAGTGGTCCAAAAGCTGGGAGTGGTCCAAAAGCTGGGCTTAGCTTAGCGCCTTGGTTTGGTTCAAGGCAGAGTTGGGGGCCAGACTGGACTTGTTTAATGTTTGGGCTTGGCTCTGATTAGGTCTTGTCCAATGGCCGGTTCGCTGAAGGGATGGACTTGGTTCGAGGCTTGCCTTTGTCAAACACCGGCCTTGATCTAGTATTGGGCTTGGTGCAAGGTCTTAAGGCTGGGCCTGATCCAAGGCCTTGGTTTAGTCCATGTCTGAACCCTAGTCTAAGACTGCACTGAACCCTGTCACCATAGCAGACATAACACAACTGCACCCTTGACGCGAAGCTATACATACCCAACTCCTAAATTTCCTTACTGAGTGCTGCTTACCTAACCTCCTGGTGCACAATCACCTACACCACTTGAGCGGGGACCTGTAGCGGCGGAGTCCGCAGTGACCCGGAGGGGCGGGCCAGGATCAGGAGGACTTATGGGGCAACACAACACTGGAGGGAGTGGCTCTTGGGGCCGTGAGGATGCAGAATAGATCACTTGCTGTCTCCAGGAGACGATCTTTTAGCATTTGGAAGAGAGGTGTTTGGTCATCCACGTGAGACTTCCAGGTCGGAGTACTAGAGAAGTGTGCTTGGAAGGTAAGAAAACCCTCTTACAGTGTTTCTAGGGTGTAGGGACCCTCCAACACCCACACTGAGGGGTGTCCCTGGGTGTAGGGACCCTCCAACACCCACACTGAGGGGTGCCCCTGGGTGTAGGGACCCTCCAACACCCACACTGAGACCCTCCAACACCCACACTGAGGGTGGGTGTCCCTGGGTGTAGGGACCACCAACACCCACACTGAGGGTGTCCCTGGGTGTCCACCAGCACCCACACTGAGGGTGTCCCTGGGGTGTCCCTGGGTGTAGGGACCACCAACACCCCACTGAGGGTGTCCACCACCACCACACTGAGGGTGCCCCTGGGTGTAGGGACCCTCCAACACCCACACTGAGGGGTGTCCCTGGGTGTAGGGACCCTCCAACACCCACACTGAGGGTGTCCCTGGATGTAGGGACCCTCCAACACCCACACTGAGGGTGTCCCTGGGTGTAGGGACCACCAACACCCACACTGAGGGTGTCCCTGGATGTAGGGACCACCAACACCCACACTGAGGGTGTCCCTGGGTGTAGAGACCCACCAGCACCCACACTGAGGGTGTCCCTGGGTGTAGGGACCACCAACACCCACTGACTGTAGGGACCACCAACACCCACACTGAGGGTGTCCCTGGGTGTAGGGACCACCAACACCCACACTGAGGGTGTCCCTGGGTGTAGAGACCCACCAACACCCACACTGAGGGTGTCCCTGGGTGTAGAGACCCACCATCACCCACACTGAGGGTGTCCCTGGATGTAGGGACCACCAACACCCACACTTAGGGTGTCCCTGGATGTAGGGACCACCAACACCCACACTTAGGGTGTCCCTGGATGTAGAGACCCACCATCACCCACACTGAGGGTGTCCCTGGATTTAGGGACCACCAACACCCACACTGAGGGTGTCCCTGGGTGTAGGGACCACCAACACCCACACTGAGGGTGTCCCTGGGTGTAGGGACCACCAACACCCACACTGAGAGGATTAAGATCGTTCTTATCCCTAAGCCGCTAGGGGCTGACGGCCTGGGGGGCTCAGCGCGCCTAGCTGCTCCTAGGAGATGGGTCTAGTTTTCTCCATTTCTAGTTTAATATTTCCCTACGATTTGACTTTTCAGTTCTTGCGTAACAAAACCATTAAACTCCCACGCTGTCATAATATCGATTGATTAGATCAATATTGATTTCATATTGCCAATTAATCTTAAATAGGCTTCAAATATTAATATAGACTGCTTACATGTTTCTTAAAATTATAGAAAGTATTAAAAATCTTATATTTTAATTCTGACATTAATTCCCGTGTTTAAAATTCAGTGTTATAAATTCTTATAAATACAGTTATAATTCCAGTGTTATAATTCCATAATTCCAGTGTTATAATTCCATAATTCCAGTGTTATAATTCCATAATTCCAGTTATTAATGTTATAAATAAAGTGTAATTCCGGTGTTATAAATTCTGGAAAAGACTTATACATATATTTTCACTTTTAGAATTGATTTCAGGGTTATAAATAAGAATTAGAAATACAGTTAGATAGTTAGATGACTATAAACCAGATACAATACCCTATTGTATTCCCCTAAGCGAAGAAATACTATTGGTCTGATAAGGCTTGTTCTGAACTCCTGTTCAAGACTTAGGGGTCGGGGGGGGGGGGGGGGTGTAGATTACTGAGATGAATGCAGTCACTTCTTTCTTTGTTGAGTTCGCCTCGCGTCGACTTCGTTCCTTCCTTCTCTCTGGTGAAATGAAAAAAGAATGAATGTTTTCAATGCAGGAAACAGGCTATGACTCTAAAATTTTAAGTCATCCTTTTTTTATGTAGTGAAGAACGGCTCTCTTCAGTCTTGCAGAGTCTGCGTTCGATTCCCGATGGTCCAAGTGGTTGGGCATACTTCTTTCACTCCTTTTTCATCCAGCTTCTTGTCCTCATACCCCAGCTCCTTGTCCTCATACCCCAGCTCCTTGTTCTTATATCCCAGCTCCTTGTCCTCATATCCCAGCTCCTTGTTCTCATATCCCAGCTCCTTGTCCTTATATCCCAGTTCCTTGTTCTCATATCCCAGCTCCTTGTCCTCATACCCCAGCTCCTTGTCCTTATATCCCAGCTCCTTGTCCTCATACCCCAGCTCCTAGTCCTCATACCCCAGCTCCTTGTCCTCATATCCCAGCTCCTTGTCCTCATACCCCAGCTCCTTGTCCTCATACCCCAGCTCCTTGTCCTCATACCCCAGTTCCTTGTCCTCATACCCCAGCTCCTTGTCCTCATACCCCAGCTCCTTGTCCTCATACCCCAGCTCCTTGTCCTCATATCCCAGCTCCTTGTCCTCATATCTCTTTGCTAAACTTCACACCGGCTTATCAGTTTCTTCTCACAATTACCTCATCCAGAATGTATTTCTAGTGTATTATAATTAAATGCTATCTTAGATACTTAATAAATTAAATACTACGGATAGTATTTACACTTGTAAATACCTGTAAATACAATCAAGTATACATTTACACTTGTAAATACAATCCGAAGGAGGAGGGGGAACTGGACG